ATATATATATATATATACACAATATGCTTATATTTTATATTTAGAAAAACTAAAACATGTTATTCAATACTGAAAGGAATCAGTAAAATGTACTTTAGTGCATTTAAAAGTTGATTATTTTCCCCAATAATTGAATGTGCAATGCAATTTTATGCATATTATCATATCAACGTGTTAGCTTTGTAACATGCTAATGCCAAACTCTACTGGAATCTATTGTGAATCAAGCCCTCCCTATGTAGGCAGCTCACTAGATTTTGAAACAGAGCCACAGCGTAGGAATTCAAAAGTTCAGCGGGAAACAGGTTATTTGTGAACGATCGGCTGATCTTATAATGCGCGTTGCTTAGGTTGAGTACACTGTGACGGTTTGTTCCAGCAGATTCATCCCTGTGAATCACCTAGGAGGAGGTGAGAGGAGTTCTCCTGAGCAAAATGTCACCCTCCTTTGAGACCAGCAGCGCTGTATGGAAGAATGGCTATATATAACCCGTTTTCTAGCGCAAGACTGGAGACTTAAACAGCTGAATCTTATTACAGTGGGACAGCTCTAAGAGCAGAATCACTGCATGTTGGTCAGACGTTCACCTCTCTGAATTATATAACCGGGCAAGTTGACTCGTACTCAGCTGAAACCGTTCAGTTGTCTCTCGGCGTAGCTACCTTTCCAAAACGTGTCTCGGCTCAGTGTGAGCGAGTGTGAGAGTGTGACGTTTGAGTCACTTTGCGGCTGCTGTGTAAGAGCTGTAATTATTCGGCTCATGAAGGGAAGAGGAGACCTGTGGGGAGGAAGAAGTATGAAGTGACAAAGAACTGCTCTTCCAGCTGACTTACCTTAGAGCCCCGCTCGTTAAAAATAATTTCCACATCCAAAATTTTCCCAAATTGCTGTGGAGAGAAAAGGAGATAGGGAGGAAAAAAAGAAAAGAGGAGAGACAGGGGAGAAAGAAAGAAAGACAGAGAGGGAGAGAGAAGGAGTAATTAGAACTCATCTCTTCTGCAGTTTGTCAGGAAACTTGAACACTTGATTGCACAGGGAGCTAGAATAGTAAACCCACCGCTTTCACTATGAACACGCAAGACAAACTTTCACACATCTCCTTTGCCATGACAGAGAAATGATACTGATGAGCACCACTCATCAGAAATGTGTTATTTTAAAAGTAACACATTACAACATTACTCAGTATAAAACACAACAAAAGCTAATTATGTAGTCTCCCACTACTAAGTTACTTTTGCTACTTTTTCCTAATTCATTCAGGAGCAAAACAAGTGACTATTTCTAAGAGTGAATCAATAAATAAATGTATTAGATTTGTTCAAAACACTGATTAATTTAGGAACGAGTAGAGTACTATGTTGTTCCGAATTCAGCATGTCTTTATGAGTAAATGAACCATTTACTCATTTGATTAAACAAGTGGCTGTTATTATGATGATTTTATGCGATTTTAATGTGATTTATGCAATTTTAACATTAAATCAGTTGAACTGTTCAAAAACACTGATTCAGGAAGGAAATGTGACTCTTTTTATAAGCGAGTAAATGAATCTTTCACTCATTCGACTCGTTCAAAACAATCATTCACTCAACTGATTCACTCAATAAGACAATATTAACTTTGCATGACACACAAAAACTACAAATACATTTTATATATTTCAAAAAGTAACTCAGATCCTATGATGTAAATTTAATTGAGCTGCCTAACCAATTGTACTACATGAAGCTCTCGGCTGGGTCGGGATTCTGGGAAAGAACAGGACATACTGCTGATGGGAGCAAACTTCAAAAGATCACAGCGGCACCCTGCTGTGTATGCACCAGTGCTCTTAATGACACGATATGGCTTGTTATTTTCTGTGGTGTTTTTGACTGATAAAAGCTGGCCGAAGCCACGGGAGAGGGTATTTCTGGCTTGACTTAACACCAAACGCCCGACTCAATTAAAAAAAAGGATAATTGGATATAGAGCAGCCATCATCGGCGATGATAAACCATATATTTGTTTATTATCTCAGTGACGAATACCATCCTCGTAATTACCTGTCACTTCGGTTATTATTTTCCAGCTATTTGCGCTCCGTTCTGTGGTTTTATCTGATTGTCATTCTCACGGCCCTCTGAAACGCCCAATCTCTCATTTTTATTCTTTAATTAGCATTAGCCATGAGGCATTGACCACTCCCTCCGAGATACGGCTTTGTCTGGAAGCTTCTTTCAGACACATATGGATTTGCAGCCTGGTTGCCCTTCGAGGAAAGAAGCTTAAACTTTATTGGCCTTTGACTGAATGCCGCTCATACCTGCGGCCAAAAGGTGAACCCTGAAGAAACAGCGGCCTGATTAGAGGTGATAAACACCACCCTCGCTGCACAAAACACACGTTAACCTCGCCTTATGCTAATCAGGATCCTCCACAACGAGACCTTGAATCAAGCAGGTTTATTTCAATAAATAAATAAACATGCCAGCGCATGCCAACGCAAGGTCACCGCTGCTCTAGCCGAAGGAGGAGACAGCTTCTTTAAGAAGTAATTTGGAACAGGTCTGAATAATTGGTTGGATGGAAGCAGGAGGCTCCAGGGTGCACCGCTATAAATGTGCCAGTAAGCATGACTGTATATATGAAAGTGTAGGACAGCAATTAGAGCAACCGCACAAAGTGACACATGTGATATGCTTAAGCGTTCCATTTAACGTGGCCGGCTTTGGAGATCATTACGGAACGCAGCGGAATGAAAGCAAAACCTTAAGTTCCCCTAATGGGAGGAATGAAAGCAGGTTTTAATTGCTGTCTAAAATGGCTGTATTATTTCATTAAAACTAATTACCCTGTCAAGCAGGCCGCATCGGCTTCGTTTCAGCACAACAGGGGATAAATGGGCCTTCCAGGCACCTACGGCTCAATGGGATTGATCGAGGGCCCGGGTCACTAATAAGGTTAAGAAGAGCCGCCTTTCATCCGCCCAGCCGTGGGGAGAACCCGAGGCGGACTGTATATGTGCATGTTTGCGGCGAGGAGGAGGCTGAGCATGCCGCTCTGATCTCAAACGGGGGGAAAAAAAGTGACGCCTCGCAGTTCATTTCGTCCGGCTGCTGCTTGATCTACCGCGCTTGTTTTTTTCCAGCCCAATTCAAATTCCGCAGTCAAACCCAAACAGCTGCTACTTGACACGATTCCCTCCATTTGTTCAAATTAAGATGCTTTTTTTTCCTCCCGCCAGAGCCGGAATCAAACGCCGGCATTTGCATCTCAGCGTGAACCTGCTCACGACCGCAGACGATTCGCTCTAAACAAAGTCTGCGGACGCTAATGGTTTCAACCCACCGTAATGGGCGTATGGTATTGCTGAAATATTTCCCAGGGTAGTCATCCATGGGAAAACCGAACTAATCACAGCTAGTCACCATAGGCCCCATCATCGCCACTGCCTTGCAGCAGAGAGCTTTAATAAGAGTGTAGGCCTACACAAAATTAGGATCAATGGGAGATCGCAGTGCGAGACTGCTGGTGGTCCACACACTTGATAGGTTGGGAAAACGCTTCACGGGAATTGTTTGAAGCGAGTCAGCTTTGCTGTGAAAACGGAGGAAGAGTAGTTAAAAAAGCGAATCAGTAGTGTGACATTAAGACGGTTTTGTTTGGAAATCAAGCAGGTATCATTATAAACCCATTACGAAACCATATGGGGCTTCTGCTCTTGTTTGAGATTCTAGGTAAACCTCTGCAGTCCCTTGGGTGATCAATATTTTAGAAGATTCAAACCTCTAAGGGAAATACCGAGGGGAATAACGGTCTATTAATTTAGAATAACAAGGTACCTGTTTTAATCTAACACTAACTTTCCCCTGAGCTGGGGGGCATTTTTATTGCTAGTATATACATATGCACTGAAGTGTAGGATCGCTCAAATCAGTGCAGGGGAGTATTTTGGGAGGAGTCGCACAATTTTGCAGCCTCTGTGTGGAATCGTCATGGTGGTGCTTTAAAACCAATTTCATACACTAGCATTAAATCCACATACTCATCTGTATAATTGCTTTGGATGTCTTTTTCTAATTATAAAATGAGGCTCAAATAAGGTTGGGTAATAGAGCTTTTTAATCGTCGCTCTTTGTTTGACTACAGCCCAAGCCAGTGTACTCGAATGAGGAAAAAGACTCGTAAAATTGCAGTTCTCATAATCAGCTATTCCAAATTGAATTTCCATCTTGCTTAATTGAGAAATCAGAAATGGTTTAGAAAGCTGAGTTAAAAATGAGTGTGATCTGTGACTGTTTATCTACAATACTCAAAAGAATTAACATTGAAAGATACAAGTCATTCAATTGGAGGCTTCATTTAAAATGTACTTCTGTCTCGAGACTATTGTTGACACAATGGGCTCACAATTACATCTCAAACAGTTTGTGTTATTAAAGTTACGCTAAAACAGGTACCTTGTATATCCTTCTGCCATATTTGTTATATTTGTATATCATTTATATCTATTATTTATATCTTTTTAATATCTACATTAGATATCAATTTGATCAAAAATACACTATTACTAATATACAATTTAAAAATACAATTTACTAATACTAATATTGTGTAATATTATTACAAATTAAAATAACTGTTTTCTATTTTAATATATATCAACACTGTCATTTATTTCTGTATAAATAAATAAATAAATAAAATATATATTTTTTTGAGAACTATAAAAATGGGGAGAAGCTAAAGGTTTTGGGGTAGCCAGTAAACCCCTTGAGTAAGTGCTTAAGGAGTTGTACCATCAGTAGATGGAAATCTTCTTCCCTTGTGCTTCAGTCACTGTTCTTAGACTTGCCTTTTCTCACATTTTTTGGGATTTTAGAGGTGCGCAGCGCTTGTCCATCCCATCCTCTCCCACTAGTCTATCTATGGCACGGTATAATTGCACCCCTGGGTCCCTGAGAGACTTCACAGCAAGTTGCAGCAGTCTCTTCAGACAAACATACACACACTTGGTCACACATGTGCCTGTTTTCACATCGGAGCTGTCAGCCAACACAAACCTAATGAGGATAAACTTCTAGTTTTTAACCACAGTGAGGAGCGCTATTAATTACGTCTCCACTGGTGGGACCACTGTGTGGCTCTCTGCTCATCACATCAACGCTGGGCAGAACGGGAGAGGAGCAGAGAGGAGAGGACAGCCTCTCTTAGAGAGAACAAAGAGCGTGAGGAACAGATGTTCTCAAGACTCAGCAGTCAGGCTGCACCCAGAGACCTCCACCAGTTTAAGTGTTACTGTTTGCTATACAGTGCCCTTAGTGAACACAGACTCCGGTTTTTAACAAGCTGGGACCAGCAGCGTTTTTTTCTCCTCCTTACGCTGCCTGTATCCTCCAGTAACAAGCTGCCAGTGTTTAACGCCGCTCCCTTGCTGGCTGCTGATAATTCAAAGGTATGCAGGAGTTTAACTGTATGAGTCCTCGAGTCTTAGAAAGACGGGCACAGATGTTTCTTCGGTTAAAGAAAGCTGCGAGTTGTTCATTAGTTTTGTTTTTATTCTAGCCGAGAGTGCTTACATCTAAACGCAGATTGAGGAGCAGTAGCTGTGGATAAAACGCTAAATAATGACCAACCATTACCGAGCCTGATGCTGCTCTCAGTATAACAATACTTTTTTGATTGAATACCCTTGTTTTTAAAAAACAAGTTTTACTGATCCCTTGTCACAAGCTACATATACAAACAAAAACTAATATAATGCAGTTAAATCAATTAGCACTTTGTCATGCACTTTCTAGGCTTGGAGGGATAAAATGTGAAAAATAAAATACTTTGGTTATGTTAAAATATTTAGACTATACTCTGACTATGGAGGTTTAGTGTCTACAATTTTGTTCACATTAATTACATAATATACTACTTGGTTGTTGAACTGATCTGAGCTTTTTTTTGCATATAATACATTAATATTAGCTGAGAAAAGCCTTCATATGACATTAATTTATAACATTATGAAATGTCTCTGGCTTCTGGTTGCTTAACAATATTAAAGTTTTTTAAGGAGTTTTAAATGTCTTTTTAGAAATGACAAATGCCATGCAATAATTGGCTTTAGCTATACACACACACACACACACACACACACACACACACATATATATATATACACACACACTGCCGTTCAAAAGTTTGGGATCAGTAAGATTTTTTATGTTTTTAAAGAACTTCCTTCTGCTCATCAAGGCTGCATTTATTTGATTAAAAATACAGAAAAAACTTTAATATTGTGAAATATTATTACAATTTAAAATACCAGTTTTCTATTTTAATATACTTTAAACTGTAATTGATTTCTGTGATCAAAGCTGAATTTTCAGCATCATTACTCCAGTCTTCAGTGTCACATGATTCTTCAGAGATCATTCTAATATGCTGATTTATTATCAATGTTGGAAACAGTTAAGCTGCTTGATATTTGTTTGGAACCTGTGATATTTTTTCAGGATTCCTGATGAACAAAATAGTTAAAAGGAACAGGATTTTTTTTTTTATAGAAATCTTTTGTAACAATATACACTACCAATCAAAAGTTTTGGGTCAGTAATATA